TTTCTTCAAACGCACAACAAAAACTTTATATCATCGACACGTGTCGAATTAAAGGCAATATATCAATAAAAAGTAATATATCAATAAATACACATCACAACTATTGGTTCCGGTTTTACTAGTATGTATAAAATGTTAACAGCAAATATTTAACCAATTAATTAATCAATTTATGAGCAGCCTTAACTTGAAATTCAAATTGTTTACAATGTGTCTATTTAATATAACACTCTAAGTTTAATCTGCATTCCACGTCGCTAATAATGTAGAAAGGAGTTAAAATAAAAAACATTAGAAGCAAATATGTATAAAATTTTGTAAATACATTTTTACAAACAGTCCACAGGATATTCAGTATTATTATCCGTTGAATGATGATCATATTCATTTCGATTTTTTTTTTTAAATTTATAATATTTGCGTAGATTTCATTTTAAATAATATATTCAAATAAAAATATTCAAAGATATACTCATGAATATCTGCTAAATATATAAAACAAAATTTAATCAAAAAAAGGATAAAAAATCCTTTGAATTGTGAAGTTTCTATGCGAAATAAATAAAGAGAACTGAAAGTAGACGATCGACTAATTGTAAGAAAATAACTGTCAGTATGTGATGTCAGGTCATTTTGTTTTTTTTACTTTAACAAATAATAAGCATACTTGCTTCTTAAAATTTTCTTCAAACAGAGACAACCAAGAAATTAAGACCCATTAAGAACACAACTCGATCAAGTAATAGTGATATTCTCTTGCACTTGAATCATATAATAAAATATGATTTTGCCGATTTGAATTTAAGCACTATTAATTCGGTTACAAAATAAACCAACCACTTCACACAATAAATAAATCTAATGATTAATTTTATGAAGTGGTTTCTTCCAACAAAGCATCCTTAAATTAAGTGTTAATTGGCCTTAATGAGTAATGCTAATTTCATGACATAAAAACAATGCTCAAACTGTTACCATTGCAAAGATATCATTTTTGAATACTGAAACTGAAAAATCAAATACTGAACAAATAGTGAACATTACTGAATTCCTTCCAGATCCGTTATATTAAATTCCACAACATATGATCACAGCAATGCAGCATTAAACTTGGTTTTGCATACTCATCCTTATTTGCTAATTCAATTGCATTATTTTAACCTTAAGCAATATGAATCAATTCGAACGAATATTCATATTTTCTAAACAATGTTTTAGAAGATAGAGAACTCGAAGCAAAATTGCTAATAAAGTGGAATGAGTTAGGAATGATAGTTCTGCATGTATTAATGTTGAAACATGCAGCTTTTCAAATAATATAATGAACAGCAACGAAAATGACGTCTCTTTTAGCGACAGGAATACCTAATTCCCAGGAATAAAAATCAAACTCTTGAGATGTGCAATTAGAAAATGATCACGTGCAGATATTTCGCACAAATTCACCATTAAATCGAACTGCAGCAAAGTCTTTGCAGAAGACACCAGCGTAATAATTAAAGCCAAAATTTAAATTAAATTCGTTATGCCAACGATAACAAAAGAGTACAATGAATACAATCTTACCTTGAAACAAATAATTTTCTTTTGTATAACAACTCTATTATACAGTAATTTGACCTCATCAATACCATCACAGTAACAGATACAAATTTTCTCAAAATTTCTTGGTAAACGTAAATCGTGGAAACCATTTCGCCGATAGTGGTAATCAGTATACCAATCTTAATACTTTATGAAAGAATAAATTGCCTTGCATTATCGAAATTGATTTGGAATTCAAATTATCACTTTATTGCAGGTGTAGGAGAAATTGCGTATGCCAGAGGAGGACGTGGTTTTAGAGCAGCACTGCGATCACTAAAGCCATCGACACCAGGTATTATTTAATTCAAGTATGGAATTTTATTAGTATTGGTAGTGTTTATTTTTGAACTGATACAAATTATTTTATTTTGTCAAGTTCAAGAAATCTAAAATATCTGTTGAAATCGTTATTGAAAAAATAATCAATTTAGACAAAATACCCTCACTGGGTCTAAGTTAGATGGTGAAACTAATCATTTTTCATATTTAGATCTATTGAGTTCGCCTAGTCAAATCTCAAATTATCTATTTTTTAAGGGGCTTCCTATGGAACAAATTTTGATGAAAGTGCAGGCGGAGCTGTTTTCTATGGCATCTTAAGAGCCGCTCAATTAGTGCCTTACGACAGCGCAATATTTCTATGCACCGACAGATCACCTGGAGATCCGGATTTGGCACAATTGGCAGCTACCACACTTATTCGAAAAAGGATAAGGGTAAGAAGATAAATAAAACAATGTTTGCTTTTACTTTAATTGAAACGTTAAGGGCGTACTCTAATGCAGAAATACCAAAAACTCTTGATTTTTTATATTTCCAAACCTTCAAGAATATGTGTACGAGAGGATTTTTAAAAATTTAAATATTTTTGGAGATACAGCTGTTGGACTATGATGATCTTCTTCTGTTTTTTTTCTTTTGCAAAACTTTAAACGCGTTTTTTAAACTGTCTTTTTCAATAGCGTTGCCACGATTTCTCGAGTTTTAGAGAGCCGATTCACTTGAAACTTCTAGAGAATCTTCTTTATAGACTTCTCTCTATACTAGGCGTATAGTAGCCACATCCCCAAATTTCAATTCTCACTATTTTAAAAAAAATTAAAGAAACTCAAAAAAGTCGTAAAAATGATCTCTTTGTTTCAAACAATCGCCATTTTGTCATTTCTTTAACTTAATCCTAGTATATGCCTAGTATATGCCATCATTCTAGTATAATCTTTTTCTTTTAATCTTTTTCTTTCTTTTAATAATCTTTTACTTTTTCATTTCCGATTTCTAGAAGGAAACAACTGCTGGTTTTTATAATTGCTAACATTATTTTACTTTTTTTATACTTTTGTATCGTTGATAAATAAATTACTAGTGGTATATGGCAGCGTGCTTTAAGGCAAATTGCTGGAACTTCTCGCATCATAACGAAATATTCGAGTAATATTAGATGTTTTCAAATAGAATATTAAAAATACTGTAACATTGTCTAATAATTATAAGAATTATATAAACCGAATTGCAAAGTTATTTAGAGTATATAAGCGAACTTTAGAACCTTAGCCAGAAATAAAATTCAAATCCGAATTATTTTCGATACACAAAAAAAAATTTTTTTTGAAGTTTTTTTTAAATTTCGTTAAAAAAAATCCCCAAAAGCAATTATAGACATTAAGTTGTTTCGCCAACACAACCGGAACGATTTTTGAACCATTCAAATCGGATGCTTAGTTCTCTCAAAAACTGCCATTCTTTGAACATTTAGCTCCATATGCCCTAAACAGCTGGACCTGCCTTTGCCAACAACTAGTCGATAACCTCGCCCAATCATTACGAATTGAATGTTTTTTTCAGATAATTCAAATTGGATGCTCCGTTCTCCCAAAAACTCTTATTCTATTTTCTACACTCTTTGCTCCCTATCTCCGAAACGGCTGGACCTGCCTTTGTCATAAACTAATCAGCACGTTTCCCTATCAATAGGAATCGAATGTTTTTTGAAACATTCAAATCGGTTAACCGAAAACGTGGACGAAAAATTGTATCCACACATACATACACACACACACACACACACACTTTTTTCTAAGGTATGCCAAAATGTTCAGAAGCTTTCAAAACGTGAAGATATGCAAAAAATTTCAATTTCGATTTTTGGACGATTACAATAACTTGCCCTACGAAAAGTTAATAAAATATAAAAAATAAAATTAATAGTAGAATGTTTTGCCTTTTTTACGATGATTTAAAAATGGCCTAAAATTCATGTCCCTACACAAAAATACCGCCTTAAAAATTTAATATTTTTAAATATATAGTGAATTAATAAATAAACACTAAATAAAATAAGAAAGACAAACAGATTAATAAAATTGTATAAATATATAGCAAATTTGTCATTAATATGAATAAAATTGATTTTGATATATCTTTTCAGTTGTACGCATTATGGTTTGGATCAACTAGTGCGCCATCTAACATTGACGATCAACTATACGAAAGTGATTCGCACGGAAGTTCAGAAGCGCTGCTGGAGGAGGCGGCGCAACGCAGTGGCGGCGAATGGATCATAGTTCGAGGTGAACCCGCTGTGAGCGCGCAGGTCTCCTCTGAAGATTTACTAGCAGCAGATCAACCAGATGATCACATCGTAAGATTGCGATATGATAGATATAATATTGCTTTCTAAACACGCGGCGGCTTGCATAACAATTTTTTTGCTGTGACTAATTATGCATAATAAAAGGAATGTCAAACTCCATGATTTAAATTTATGGTTTAAACCTTAAAACCTTAAAATATGGCGCAATGTTCTTAAGCCCCGAATGCATCTCAGATATCAATTTCTGACATTCCTAAGAGACGCATATTTTTAAATTCAATACTAACTATTAAACAATATATCGTCCAATAATATCAGGATTCTATATGGGAATATGAATTTAAAGTTAATGATAGTCTTAAAAACGCATGTCCCATATAAGAATGGTCAAATTACATATGAATTTCAGGTCTAAATTGCTCTATTTATATTAAATGAACAATTTATGCAATAATTTAAATCTATAAACTCAGCCTGCACCAAATAAGAGAAACGCACAGAAAATTAGTATTAACTTTTTTTAAATCGAAGTTGAAATATGTTAATATAAAATATTAAGTTTATGTCAGAGTATTTTATACCTTAATATTGTGTAAATATTTAATAAAGTATTATATAAAGAATATTGCAGCTTTTCTTGAAAACCAAAAAATTAGCTAACATAGTAACATTCCTAATATTATTTCTATTACCAGAAATAAAACTGACGATATTACTAATTGTTCGCTTTTGTTACTAAATTAAGCTTTGCTTTCAAAAATTGCGTATGACCGAAAAGGCGGTCTTTTATGTGTTATAAAAAGTGATATTTCACAGGCAACTTTGGCAGTTCGTAAACATTTACATGGGCAGCAAGCTGTTTCGTTGAATGTAGATAATTCAATATCATCTTTGCATGTTGAGATAATGGGAACAGTCAGTGAAGCCAAACTTCGTACGCCTAATGGTAAGTTTTAGTAAAACGATATATTAAGTTTTCATTCTACATGCAAAGTAGTTTTTGTAGAATTACCATACGATACGTTACGATACCTTAAAAATTACTCTAAATTAATTTGGATTTTTCTTAAATGACATAGGTCTACAAATTAAAAGAAGTTGTCTGTATTTGGTATGCTGTCCAATTTATATTTTAACACTAAACGTGGACCTAAAGTCAAAATTGGGTATTAAACTACAAAAAAAAACGGAGAAAAACAAGAAAATATAATGGCAAAATCTTCGACCTAGCAATTCTTCTGCATGAAAATAAAAATATTCTAATTTTTATGGTTCCTGTCCCATCTCTCTTCATCATCTCTAATATGATGCAATGTTTTCTATAGCCCAGCAGCAACTTGCAAGCATATTTATTCCCTGTTGCCCCAAGCTAATCTGCAAACATATTTGCAGTTATTTGTAAATGTTTGCAGATTGCTGCCGGATTCTGTAAGAAGAAACTCGATAAAGATGAAACAAGCGTTGCAGAAATCCGTTGCACAGGTTATTTAAGGTGAAAAGAACCAGGAAACGACAGAAATAATAAGACTTTAATTACCACCATGCAGAAGAATTTCTAGTTTTGTCGTATTTCATATTTTTCCTTGTTTTTTTTTTTTGCAATTTGATCCCCAATTTTTACTTTAGATTTATGTTCAGCGTTAAAAAGTACATTGGAAAGCATATGTCGCCCACCCAATATAGACAACTTTTTTATTTTGAGAACCTGTGTTATTAATTTTTAGTTGGTTAAATTTTCTTTTGAAATTTTTGCTTTGAAGGCAATAACAAAGTGATAATTCTCTTCATATGTTGAGCATTCTAAGACATATCATTTTTATCATTTTCATAGTTCGTCCGCAATACAAAATGTACAAGACGACATATATGAAATTATTTCATATAAATAAACGACGTATGGACGTACAGATTTATTTTGCCAGCTGTTAAAATAAATATGTAGTATTCATAGTATAAATAAATAGTATTTGGTTTACATTTTCATAAAAACCGCGTTAAGAGGGTATTCTGGTCAAGAATTTAAAAAAATCGATTTTGTACTACTTTGAACTACTCAAAAATATATGTACAAGAGCATTTTTCAAAATTTAAATAACTTTCGGAGATGTAGCTGTTTCAAGATGATAATTCTCAACTGTTTCCTTCAAATGCGTTTTTCTCAAAACTGTCTTTTTGAACTACATACGGTTGCCACGATTTTTCAAATTTTACTGAACCGATTTAATTAAAAATTTTATAGATTTTTCTTCATAGGAATCTCTACAATGAACTATGATCATACACAAATTGCGATTTTGACCATTTTTTTTTAAAAAAAAGTGAGGATATCGAAAAAAGGTGTAATAAAAATATTTTTCCTTCAGACAGCCGCTATTTTGTGAAAAAACAATTATTTTAACATGCCCGTAGTTCATACGATAGCGACATTATTCTCGATTAATAATATATATCTTTTTCTTCTTCGGATTAATTGAAGGGTTAAAATTATGGGCCAATTTTTTGAAATCCCCCAATTCATCATCTTCTAGAATTATTTGTCTATTCCAATTTTCATTTGTTTTTAATATGCTCAAGAAATTATTTAATAACTTGTGAAAAATATATAGTAAAAGTATGGCTTGGCTTTTTTTTACAGCCATTCAAAGACCAGAATACTCCCTTAATGAAGGAAAGATGTACATATAATATAAAATTTAAAATATATTATTGATGAAAATATATATAATGTAATATGTAAATAACAAAAAAAAACGTTTTTAACGGAGAAAATTATTATACACAGATGGAAAAAAACAAATTAACACTAGAAAGACGGACGAATTGAGTATACCTACATTGCCTGAAAACAGTCAAAATGACTGCGTCGTGAAAAAAATAAATAATGCGTTTAGAAATTTGTTTAAAATTAATTTTTATTATTTCATGTACTATTTACATTTATACAAATTATCTATGAGTGCTAAAAATAAAAAAATAGTTCATCTGACAAAGAAGTTCATTATTTTTACAATTCATGCAAATATAATTTGAGATCTTTTTATGAGTACATTTTCCGCAAACATGTTTGTTGCAAATTTGACACGTATTATTAGTTTTATTATTATTACAAAGTCTTATTTGGCAAAAATTTCTTTTATTACTACTGGTATGAGCATGATATCTGTGGGTCATAATTTCCTTTGATTTTTTTTTGTGTTGATGTCGTGTAGTCCGCGGAAAGCTGTTCTGCCAATTCAAACAAAAACTGTTCTCTAAGGATTTGTTTTCTTTGGATTTTTATTCCTGTCGCTTCCTTGTAAAGAATCCAGGCATTTATCGCAGTCAAATCCAAAATATTGAAAAATATTTGCAGGGGTCATCAACTGGATTGGAACTGGTTTTTACGGTATATTTTCTTTACCTTTGATTTGCCATGTCTTCTTTGCTGACCATAAATAAGTCAATTTCGATTTTTTTGCCTCATAGGCTCCACGAGCATATAAAATTCCAATAAATACACGTATTTCCGGTAACGATGTTGTCCAATCGTACTTCAAAATTCGACTGCCTTCTTCTTCTGTGCACTGTTTTATGTGTTTGATAATATAATTATCTATTATCAACGAAAATGCACTGACAAGATCATCTGTAATAATATTATTTTTTGCATAGCTTGTTGGCCCTTTCACACCCTTGAAAACACAATTCGATGATGACCTTCCTGGAGTACCACCTTCGGCAATTTTTGTCCATACAGTACGATCGACAGCTGTTTCCGTTTCTTGAATTTTTTCATCAGTTTCTGAGCCACTTAGCATCATCCTGCATACACTGATGGCACTTTCATTTTCATCAATAGTGATCACCTTCATCGCTACCCTCAGAATCAGATGATTCACGTGGAATATAATCCAATTCATCTTCAGATGATTGTGCCCAATTTTCTGCATTTTATTCTATGTCGGAACACTCTTCACTTATGTGTGTTAGCTTTTGCAATAATTCACTTCTCTTCGACATTTTATTTATAAGTTCTAAAAAATCAACTGAACAACGCGTTATACTGAAATTTACTACGTCAAAAAGACCGGTCTAATGTCAATACTTACCAAAATTCGGTTATTTCTATGTAACGAATGCATTATCGCTCATTCGAGATGAGTTAACGCGAGGTAACGATTTGCAATACAATAACAAAGCCGTTTGTTTATGTAAAATGTCTATAGCAGTCAAAATGACTGTTTTTCGTCCATGTAGGCATAACATGTAAGAATATTGAAAATAAAAGTGAGATACGGCAAATAATACGATTTATCTACGCATTTATATGTTGTATAAAAAGTCACAAAATTTCACGAAGCTGCGACTTCAAATACATAGTTATTTTTATGTTTGAAAATGGAAAACAGTCAAAATGACTGCGTCCGTCTTTCTAGTGTTAATATAGCGTAACCAACTTATAAAATTCAAATGTGGCGCGAAAACTAAATGATGAAACTTTCTATGCGTCTTGCAACTTGTTAGTAAGAACTACACACTTGGATAAAAAATATAAAAACTAAATATTATTAGACTTATATTAAGACTTATATAAAAATATTTTGTTTTAGTCACTGTGCTATAACTCATGTTTATCACATAATAAATAATTCATAAAACTCGAGGGACTAAAAGATCAATAAATTCATAGATGGAACTGTTGCTACGCATATATACATCATAATAAAAATATATATTGTATAAGCTTTTATAAATCCTTGAGATAAAATTAGAGGAAAGGAAACAAATATTATCGATTATTAAAATATCAATATATAAAAAAAGTTAGTATTATTGAATTAGAATTAGAGGTATACTTAAATAAAATTATATGTTTCAGTCTAAATGGATAAATATAACTTTGGTTTATTTTTAGCATTATTTACTAAACATTTCGAAAGAAATGTCACTTTTGACGTTTCTATTAGCAACATATAACCTCAAAATCAATTTCTTACGTAAATTAACACAATTTTATTGTCATGTACTAAAACTTACCTGAAAAGTTGTTAAACTACACAAATATGATATGCAATATTATTAAACAGTTCAAAAATTAACGCAGCACTCGATTTCTTTTAAAAAATCACGAGAAATGTCAAATGTCAATTCTCATGTAAGAGACGTAAATTGACACTGACATGACAATTGACACGAAATGACAGGTGAAAAACATAGATAAGAATTTGACAGATTACTATATGTTTGACAGGTAAAGCGATAGACCTTCTCAATGCAACAGCGGTCGCTATGTTCTCCGACGAGTCGCGATTGCTACGCTCGACGCGGGACGAAGTCGAGGTGCAAATTAGTTTGCCCGCGGGCCGCGAATTCAAAGGAGAATGGGCGCTGCTGACGAATCAAAAGAACGACGAAGAATACAATATGACGGTTCGCGCCAGTACTGCGATTGGGTTCGAGGCTCTGCTAAGAAGAGATGGTGAGAATAGATTTGTAAACAAATTGATTTCGTTCGATAGTTGCGAATATTTTAAATAATGTATTAACTATACTTAAATCATTCAACGCTTTTATATTCGCCTTTCACTGTCCTTTCACATAAAATTTATATTTTTTTGAAGAAAATTCAGTAAAAAATAAGTTTAGTATAGATTTATTTGTTACATTTAGTTTAACGTTACTACTATCCGTTAAACAATTTGCCTATTCAACAATTTGTCTATGAATTTATATATAATCTACTGTTTTACCGACTTACGAATTTACCTGTCAACCTATTTACCTATCAACCCGTTTCACATGCCTACCAATTTACCTGTCAACATGTTCATCCGTCTTGTTATTTGTCTATCTACCAGATGTCCTGTCTACCATTTTACAGATTCTCCAATTTACCTGACCACCAGCTATCCAACAAATTACCTTTTCACCAATTTACTTGTCTACCAATTCACCTGTCCATCAATTTACCTGTCTACCAATTTACCTATCGACCTGTTTATCAATCTACCATTTTACCGGCCTACAAATTTATTTCACATCCTGTTCTGCATACCTACTAATTAAGCTGTCAACCTGTTTATTTATCTACACAATCGTCTATCTACCAGTTCTCCTCTCTATCATTTTACATATCCTTCAATTTAACTGTCCACCAGTTTACCTTTATAAATTTTCTAATTCACCTTATTTATTTACAAATTAAAGCTCAAATTGATTCCACGTTTTAGTTAGAAAACGTTTGAATGTGAAAAAGAAAAGGGCTGTTTTTAGGGTTTTCCCGGCAATTATTCGATTTTATCTCGCCGTAAGAACCATCCTTGGACTTCAACAAACATTTTAGAAAAAGAATTGGCCAAATTGGTCCAGGCGTTGTTGAGTAATGCGCTTACCAACACATTTTGCGATTCATTTACATATATAAGATGTACATATATGTTATGTTATGTATATTTTGTTGTAAGTACCATTTCTAGCACCACACACAATCAAAAATAATGACACACATCGGGTATCTATCATTTTACTCGATTTTTTTTATTATAAAGTATTATGATGAAACTTTCCAACATACTTTAGTACTTTTTTTTAAAAGAAGAGCCTTTCGAAGTCGATCAATTTCGAAAATTTTAAACTCACAGTTCAACAAAAAGTCTTAATTCTTGTAAAATTGGGGCAACTGTGCCATTATTTTTGAGTGTGGTCCTAGAAATGTTATTTACGATTTCGTATAAAATTAATAAAAATGAACCACAATCTCCGAAAAATGGTCAAATTTGTACTCATAATTCTCAAAATACGCGAGATATTTTTTTCTAATCTTTTTTCATGATAGTTATGATCAATACTGACTGCAACCAAACTATGTCTTGCCATGGTCTTTGCCCATTTGTTGCAATCGACTTGGCGATTGTTTTTGATCTGTATTAAATTTATTTTTTACTGAATTTATTTCAAAAACTATGAATTTTATGTCAAGATAGTGAAAGCCAGATGCTTATTAGCTAGTAAACATATATCAATATCTCACCTCGTTGAAATGCGTATATATAAATATAATGAATACATATATTGCAAACAAAAAAAAGCAATTTAGATTAGGATTTAAGCAATTTAGATTTAAAATAGAATTTAGAGCGGCCATCCACCCAGATAATAGGAAGAAATCTAAATTATGCTTTCGAAATTTTTAATAGACTTTCCATATGTTTCGAGTTTGACTCGTCTTCAGTGAATAAAAAGCACAAATTAAAAAAAAAATAGTAATGAAGTATATTCTTGCACTAACTGCCTGTCATAATAGACGTCATTTATACATATATTTAGCTATATTGTAATTTAATTATATATAATTAAATAATTATATATAAATATAATTAATATTTTTCACTAACATGTTCGATTTTAAAGTATTTCGTTCATTTAACGTGGCTTTTGCATTTTTTCCTTTGTGCTTTCAAAATAATTCGTGATTTTATATATTTTATTCGATATATTTCCACTAAATGAAAACCAGAGTCATGAAATTCGAACAAATTAATTAATATTATTCTCAATATCAGTCACCAGCACCGTCAAGTTAATTAGTTGCATGGCGTATTTTAAATTAATAAAAATGTGCCCTTGTTAGTATTAACTATAATAAGATATGAAATTTGATCTAATAAGTTGAATGACACATTAGCAGGG